GTTATTTCTGTCTCCTAACTAAACTAATTTAATTAGATACAAGTATTGATACTCCTTCAATTTTTACACTTCTTTAGTGTATTGTACAAGTATATCAACTTCATCATACATGTATTTAGCTCTATTTAATTAAAACTGTTCTGTTTGCACTTCTAAACAACGTACTGTAAGATTCAAGGCGGATTTACAATATTACGCTAGTCCTGACTTACATTGATACTGGAGTTGAATCTGGTTCAACTCCAGCGTGAAGCATGCACGAAAAGGTCAAATCACCTACGCTTTTGATTAACAATTGACATTATGTTGGCCTAACGTCATATTGTAAATCCGCCTTAAAGCAATTTTCACTGTATAGCTTTTGTTCATAAAACTTGCTATGTCTATTTGGTCACTTTCGCAGAGCTGATACCTTCTAAGTCTAAATAATTATAAATGAACGTCTGCTTATTACAACATTGCAGTATTACAATATCTCAAACAAAATAAGGTTGGGTAACTATTCTATACATGTACATGCACTATGCATGTACATGTACTACTACCTAATGTAGCCAAACTATTATCTATTGTTTGTAATTATTATTTTAATCATTGTGGGGGGGCAGCTGGGTCCTCTTCTGGGGGGATAAAATCAATATCAGTTTCATTGTCATATGTATCCTAATTGATGTAACAGACTCAACTATTGACATTATAAAGAGACTTACCACAAATCCACTCCTTTCTTCAATCACCTTCCTTAACCCTCTGCATAAATGTTACATATAACTGAAAGTGATGTCTTTAACAAACCTCTTCATTTTAGCAACCAGCTCTTTGTTGTGTTTTGTATAAAATACACGCCATGGAGCAGGGAAGGCATCGGGTGGTGGATTTTGCTAGAAGAAAATCATTCTGGTAAACAATGTATCCATGTAGCTAACCCATTCTGTAGTCCATTGTTTTACAGTGCCATCAGAACTGATATAATACATAGATTCTTTTATAGCTCTTTCATAACCAGAGTCTGCAATCTATATAAAGTAGAAATATTCAATATATTTTGTTAAGCTCAATTTCATACATCAACAATTATGTCATCTTCACTAAGTCCATCTTCAGTTGCTGTAATTTCTTCTTTCTAATAATGAGTTACCGGTATGTGTTAATTTAGCTTATACATTTATTTGTGCTATTTACCAATTCTTGTGCACCTTTTGGTAAGTGACAATTTTTAAAATAACCAATTGGTATGAAAAGCATTGAATTTTCAAGAAATTGTATCAATTTTTCTACCTAAATTGCATGTACAATAAGTCATAAGATAGATGTAAGTATAAGCACAACCTCTGGATTGACGTCTGCATTTTTTATTATTCCAATGATTGAGTCATTAAGACTACAGTAAGTATCCATGCTTTTTATTGCATCAATAAGAGACAATTTTTTTCTATTTTGTAAATTAATGTTACAGTATTTGATTAATAATATTATATATATTACCCATCAGATCCTTTAATAAGTTCAGCCTCTCCGCATTTTATCAGAATTCGATTGATCCTATGAAACAGTATAATAACTAAATGCTAACATCAATACTTAATTATCATACATTGTAGCAACAATTCTGTTCTTTCTTTCAAAATATAAATTTTTAAAAAGATTATGACGATCAGCAAAAAATCCATTGTACGTGTCTAAATCCTATATTTTATATACAATTAATGTAATATACATAATTGTGATACTTCTTCAATAACACAAATGTGTCTCTTTCCATCAGGACACATTTTAACACGTATTCTACTCAGAAATTTTCTAAAATTAATCATGTTTAGTATTGTTGCAAAAAAACTTTAAAATTAACCTCCACTTAAAATTGATCCTCTTTCCCAAGACACCTGCATCTCTCATTGTATAATCCATTCTGTTTACATCCAAACCACTCATTCTGTTCACCACTATCTGTAAATAATAATCAATATAAATGAAGTATAAAAATTATATCATACCTCATAAAGGAACACCTTATCTTCACGTATTTTCTAAAATTAAGTATAATTACCAATGATAATGTACAAGATTAAAATAGCAACATACAGCTTGGGGTCCCATTCTTCCTGTGATTAGCTCTTTAATAAATTCAATATCTTGTTCAGGATTATTCAAATATTCATCAAATGGCAATCTGTTGGCTTCAATCATATGTTGGAACATCATCACGTTAGCACGTGAGCCCTAGACTTTGATTAAAGTAAAGATAATATATTAATAATGTACTTTCCAGTAACGTCTAGAAGCTTTTATTTCCTTCAAGAAATCAGTAAAAATGTGAGAGAAAGGACCAAAGCCAAGGTTATAGCAAAGAGCAGCAATTTGTACACACAAAACATCAGAATCAGTAATATTTAGCTCAGGCTGTCTCTTCCTGAGTGTCTTCACAAATTTTCCAGCAAAATAATACATTCTGCATCATAAAATAAATTTTCAATAATTATTTTTCAATAATAGGTATATTTAGAATCTATTATTTTAGCCTCCACTTTCTTACCCAATGCTTTGCTCATATCTTGAACATGTTGCTCTTGGTATATTATGATAGGTGTAGCCTGCATGAGATTAATGTAATAGATTTATTAATTATATATCATTTTGATTACAATAATTTACCCAATTTTTTAATGTTCTTGAGTCTTGTAAACTGTTCTGTTCTCACAATTTTTATCAATAAGGGATGGTCTATTGTGATGAAGTCATAAATATCATCCTCAAATGTCTATAAAATTATACAGCGAAAATATGTAGTCTTTACTCATTCGCAACTCACATACATGTATATAATATTAAACTTTTTACTTACAATACATTCTTGTCTTTCGAGACTTAATGGTTTGGTTGATAATAATTGTGCTCTCAATTTTTCTATTTCTTCGTTCTTCATAACTAATTTTTTCTCCATTTCTACAATAGTGTTGATTAGCATATCATACAAGTGGTTTGTTAGATCACACCAAATAAATGTATATGGTTTATTCTTTCACAGGCAGGGCTAAATTATTAATTATTGTGGATATGCATGTACTGACATGAAGGAAGAAACAGCTAGTTATATGAAATTTTCAATTATCTAATATAATCACATGCATGCATGTACCTTCTCTGAGTTTTTTCTCCCTCTCTAAAGCTTCAATAATTTGTGACTTTTCTTCGTCTTTCTTCTAGATATACTCTTGATATATATATTATATATTATGTTAAATTCAAACCTTCCCTAAATCTTCTCTTTCATCTAGTGATAAGTTATTATCATCAGAGATGTACAACTACTGCACTTTACCTTCAAATATTGTGGATTCCATTTCTTGACGCATTGGTGATATTCCTTTTTGCAAATTACCCTCAGCTAATTCCAGTACTTTTTTCAATTCTTCTTATTAAAGATAATATTCAATTTCACATCACATACCTTTATTATCATCAAAATTTACTGCACTTGCTGCTTCTGATTTAGCAGTAAAAACTAAAACTTCTTCTGTAGATGGAACCAAAGGCAGCTGCTTAGTTGGTTGTATTTTATTTGCTACGTTTGATGCCTCATCCTGAAACAATTTTTTAAAATTGGTGTAAGAAACTTTGTTACTTTTTTGCATACTGGTTGGAATTGCCCAGTCTCATCTAGCAATAAAATCACAAATTATCTTTCCAGCTTTATAGTATGCAGTAATACCTGACTTTTGCCTTAAAATTTCATTTTCCATTGTCCTGACATTTGGAATTTTATTCATTAATTCCTATGAAATTGAATCATACTTATCATCAATGTAATTGTACATGTGAAAGAAATATTAAATTTTTTAGCACCTCATTTAAAGTACTAACCTCCTCTGTACTATTAATCAGTTGTGCATTCAATGATAGCATCAATTGTTGAAATAAACCACTACTAGTTGGTGAGGTTTTTTGATTTTCATCTAAAACATATAGGTATAGAAAATATACATCATAATTTAAACAACACAATACACAAGGGTTACCTGAATCTATTGCAGGAGAAGTGGAAGGGGCAATAGTTTTATTTGCCTGTTACATTAAATAATATTAGTTCATAATTATAATAATATTTACCTCATACACAGTATAGTAGCCAATGGTTAATCTCAGCACTTCATTTTCTTTCAATACATCAATATTATTAAGAGCAGATTCAATTACCTGCTCAGATAGAATCAAAGGGAAGGAACAAGTGATGGTGAAGGAATTGTCATCTCTGATGACAATTAATTTTATACGTGGTGATAATTTGTGAAATATATTAGCTGATAATCTCCTGACATCATTCAATGTGTAATCATCAGTATTTCGATCAACGACAATGGTAATCTTTTCGCATTGAAGTGGTGAAGCATCAGAAAAATTTTTGTTCAGGCATTTACTAAGCTCTGTTTCACTAAACTCTTCTAAAGCCTCACTATATTCCTGAATAGCTGCCTTAGCCTCCTCTATATTCAGCTTATTAACAATAGCCTTCAGCATTTCTATGTCATCTAACGAACAATCTTTCCTAACTAATTCCAAAATGTCGTGAATATTGTCACATTGAGCTACTTGTGGCTTTAAATCTTGACTGTAGTACATCAATATATTCTTTATTTTGTCAAGGGTCGAAGGAGGACATTTTCCAATGATTATTTCAACTTGATCAAATGTGGAACCAAGCATCATCCGCATTGATTTGAACCTTGAGGTTAAGGATGGTGGAAGATGAAATTCATCTTTTTTAGCTGTTTTTCGAATGAAAGTTAATGTAACAACAATGCTAAACTATGCTTACCAAGATCATTATCACTTTCATGATGATCATAAACTTTTCCTAGAGGAAAATAAAATAGCTTATTATACTATTATGCTATAAAAATATTCACTGTATTCTCTCCTGATGGTCTTTCCTATCTCCATTGTGGCTTTATTTTTAATCAATATTGCAGCAAACATCTCCAGCTTATTAGAATCAATACAAATAGCTTTTACAATTTCAATCATTAGTATTTCTCCTTTTCTGGAGTGTATTATATCTTTTATTAAATCCTCTGAATGCAAAAATTTAGCCAATTGAGGTAATGCAGCAATGAGAGATTTATTTGAAGTATAATCAGCAAGAATTTTACAAGCAGGATGCTCTATAAAAATATGAACAATAATCTTTTAATATAATAAACTTACTCTCTGCATCTATTCCATCAGCTATTGCATTGTCATTCAATTCCTTCAATGCTGATACCAATGAAGAGACAGTAGGGCCACCTTTCTTCTGTACATCATCAGCTTTCTGTAGCCATTTGGTAAGACATTCCCGTAGACAGCTCTCAGTATTCTTTTCATTATTCCTTGTAATTACATCCAGTGTAGCAGGAGATAGGCCAAGATAAAGACCAAGAGTATAGTAACTAACTCCTGAAAAACCATGTCTACTGAGTAATCGAAGTACCTCAGCAAGATCAGTAACTATTAAATAATTATATTTAGTATAAGAAATAAGTAACTAAACATACTTTGCAGTTGATTTGTATTGGCTGCTGGTCCAGGAGAAGCCATTGAGCTAACAGTTAAGACTATAGCTTGTAAAGCAACTGTAAACAAGTGATAAAAATTGCTTTATAAATATTAGATCTCAACTGAGACAGATAATATTATTTATGCATAAAAGCAAATTCATGATGCAGCTATAGCTAGATCATTTCTTTATCATAATAAAGTTTATAGAACACGTATGCATATGTCAGTATCTATTTCATTTAATTCAATTAAAGACTTTACAAAATAAGCAGACTATAGAGATATAAAGCTAGCACAGATAAAGGGAACACCTACATACCTGCAGAAGCTGTGTCACATCATTAAGCTTTCAAAGAGATAAAAATAAAGGAAAAGTGGAGAAAAACAAACAAAGGGAGAGAGTATGGCAAGAAAGATAGACTCAGGTGAAGGGAGTCAGTTGTACTGGTCTGTTAATTAAGCAAAATGCTGTCAAAGCATTCAGGCTACAAGCCTATAGGCTTGTAGCCTGAATGCCCTGGCAGCATTTTACTTAACGGACCAGTATTCTGGCCCTCAAAAGCTTGAGAAAGAGAAAAAGGGTTTTAATTTCATATTAAATGTTAATAGTTAAAGACAGGTTTACAATATTACTATAGGTCTGCCTATACCATCAATTTTTAATCAGAATCGTAGACAATTTGGCCTTTTGACACATGCTTGTCAGAAGTTGTCGCTAAAATAGAACCAAATCCTATTCCAGTGTCAATGTAAAATCAAGCCTATTGTAACATTGTAAACCACGCCTTAAAAAGTAATTTGAATGCAGAGAGCTTAGTATCAAGTAGTTAGTAATCTTGCATATCTATGTACAAATTAAAGTATAAAGCTTATGAAAAGGAACATGCATGAGCACTATAAGGGATATTTGATTATATTGTAATATGATTCATAGTAAATACTGATTGTGTGGTACTGCTTGTGTGGTTACCTATCCCATATCATGTGATGGCTATACTTGTATTCATAATAGACACACCCAACCTGTAATGAGAGTTATATGAAGGAATGCTTTGGGTGGGTTATTTTTCAAGGAAACTGTTTTGATCATGTATACCATTGAAATACTTTGACATTGTTCTTATTACCCTTGCCCACGCGTAGGTGTATGGGCAAGGGTACTGTATAGCTTGATATTTTCGTGGGTCGATATTTTTGTGGTTTGCTCCTAGTGGGGCAATTTGTGGTTTAATTTTCGTGGTTGACAGTTTACATAGTCTGTAAGGGGATGCCACTTCAATGATTTCGTGGGTTTAAATTTCATGGGCAGCACCATAACCACGAAAATCATGAAATTTACATTCCACAAAAATTTCAAGCTATACGGTATATGAGTCGATTTTGTTAATACAGCAAATAAATAATATGACTAAACAAAATATACAAGATAGACCATAAAGCGATTAATCACTTCTAGCATAATTACAAACCTTAATACCTTTATTATTGTTTCATATGTTTTAATAGTGTGTACAGTTGTTTTTTACTAAGTTATAAGGCTGGTTTTCATATAGTTGTAGCTGTTGTGTTTTTCAAAGAGCAATTAAGTTAACAATTAGGTTTGAAGCATGCAGGTTTCAAGCAATTAGCTTCTAATGGTATGCTAGCAAGCTATCAGAGCCCAAAGTCTGTTAATTGCATGTGTATGTATGTACATGTATATCATTAGTTATCATAGTAACCATGCATCTTTACCTAATGGAGAGCCTCTATGCTTTCTGCTACTGATGATTTAAGAGATGCATAGCCTTTAACTTAATATTTTGAACAAAAGGAGGAGTGTTATATATTTTAAAAGCCTAGAACTTGTAGGCTATAGATCTATACCTCATGACAGGCTAAAACACTAAATGAATGTTGTTGTGTATGAGATCTAAGAACTTGAGCATATGAGACATAAAAGAGAGAAAAATAAACAAATTAATACAGAAAATTTGTTGAAAAAAGATTAAGTGTATCATTGCAGCTACTACGATTAAAGGTGGTTCTATGTACTATTAGTTATACCTGCTGCGTTTACATGATGGAATATTGTGGGTGTTCTAAGAATACTGATATCCAGTATCTACAACTAAATTCATTAACCAAAACAATGCAATATTATTACAATGATGAATACATGCACATAGGATAAGCAACTAATCTATGTCAACAACTAATAATAATTCAAATAGTAGAAATATACAGCAATATATTGACATAAAGTATATCAGTTAAGTAAAAAGAAGAAATGTTATAAAAAAAGTGGGATAGGAAAGCATTGAACCTTGTAAATTGTTCATGTACAGTCATTGATTTCTCAATTAGTAGACCCTTCTCTTGACTTCCAAAACTGTAACAGCCTGTAGTTGGCAGATAAACCATTCTTCCCTAACGACACATCTGAGTTATGGTCTGAGTGATTACAGGCGTGGCAACCCGAACATGTTACAATGTTAAACTAAAACATGATAAACAAGCATCTACCATTATTACTGTAGTGCCACTGCTTTCTGTACTGATGGATCAGATAAAGCTCAATAATGGTTTGATAACTTTGATTCATTAGCTCTCTACATCCATTCTCTATGATAAATAGTAGAATGAACATAAAGGATATTATTATATAATAGCTACATAACACTCTTTACCATATAAACTGCAGCAATATCCTAAGGAGACATGTAAATGATCATAATGACCTTTAGAGTCATTGTATTTTGCTTCTATAAAGTATTAAAGCTAGCATATCTCTTCATTCATTAGCACTACAAATAGAACGTGTATTGAATTATTTTTTTATAATAACAATAACTATTTTTTAAGATACAGAAATAATAATGAAGAAGATCAGCATTTATTATACATTTATAAAGACGAGTTAATTTGTTAAGTTAGTAAAATAGAAAATTGTCATTAATACCGAGCCCATACTTAAAACTTATGCCTTGCCACTTAATACAGGAACCTCAAATACAGATTATTAATTGTAAATTTTAATACTTAAGCCTTCCCCTATTTTTGTCCTAAAATATTGTTCCTATTATCCCCTATTGTCATTAAGAATTCATGAGGTTAAAATTTGTGGATGAGTGATCATCCGTGAAAATATATTCTTGTACCAATGCAGTACCCCGGCCCGAATAATGGTAGGAAAGGATCTTACAAAAGAGAGAACAAAGGAGGCAGATTCCAATGGCACACACACGACACAACTCAAGTTTAAGTTCATATTTATCATTTATAGTTTATTATGCTAAGTTCTACTGATGTGCATTAATAATACTCACCTACATTAGACTGTATATTGACTACTGCGCTGTTCCAGTCATCCAGTGAGAAATCCTTTCAAAGGTTTTAGCGTGTACAGCTCATATATGCATCGAGGTTCACATCCATTTAAAATATCTACACTGTTGTTAGGAGTGGCTGGAGGGTGGAGCATAAAGTTTACCCACGTGTATTAGCATGGGCAATTGGGACAGCTCAGCTCTCTATTTCTATAAATGATCAATATGACTGTACACTGTACAGGCACTTATTAGAGGACTGAGGACCAGTAATAATATAGAGGTATTATATTTAGTAAATCAGTTCAAACTATATGGATTTCAATGTGTACGAATGATTACAGTAAATGTAATAAAATTGGAGGTGATTTTAGAGCCAGCCATTTTTCCGAAAAACCATGGGCTATAGTACAGGGTATTATTCAGAATTTTGGCATTCTTAAAATGGCTGTAACTTGGAAAATTGAAGTTGGAATCAACTCAAACTTTCTACACAGCATAACAGGGCCGTAGCTAGGAACTTAAAATTGGGGGTTCGGAAATTGCTGCGCGCGAAGCGCGCAGCGAAAATTTTGACGAAAATGGGCGTGGCTGATAGGCGTGGTCTTAATTTACGCATCTCAGCCATGTGCTGACTCAGCTAAAATGGCTATCTGTGCTTCTCGCTGTTGCCAAAATGCTAATCCTGCTTTTGCAGTGCTGTTCTTCATGACAGGAGCTATTCTAAAACTTTTTTGCAGCTACAACAGGGGGGTTCGTCCGAACCCCCCGAACCCCCCCTGGCTACGGGCCTGCATAAGGACGTCAATATGTATCAGAAAATGTAATAAAAATTGGAAGTGATTTTGGAGCCATTTTTTGAAAAAAAGCATGGGCTATAGTACAGGATATTTTTCAGAATTTTGGCAAATTTATTAAATAGCTGTAACTTGGAAAATTGAAACTGGAATCAACTCAAACTTTCTACACAGCATAAGGACATCAATATGCATCAGAAAATGTAATAAAAATTGGAAGTGATTTTGGAGCCATTTTTTGGGAAAAAACATGGGGCTATATAGTACAGGGTATTTTTCAAAATTTTTGGCATTTTCTTATAATGGTCACAACTCGAAAAATTGAAGTCAAAATCAGCTCAAGCTTTCTACACAGCATAAAGACATCAATATTTATCAGAAAATATAATAAAAATTTGAGGTCGTTTTGGAGCCAATTTTTTTTTCTCTGGGCTATAGTACAAGGTATTTTTAGCATTTTGCCGATTTTTAAAAATGGTCGTAACTCCAAACTATTAGTTGGAATCAGGTCAAACTTTTTACACAGCTTGAGGACATCAATATGTATCAGAAAGTGTAATAGAAATTTGCGTAATTTTAGAGAGCCATTTTTGGGAAAAGCATGGGCTATAAAACTCAAAAAACTATTAGTCAGAATCAGGTCAAACATTCTACATAGCATCTTAAAAAGCACCAATATCAGTCCTGAAGTTCAATAAATAATAAGGGTCTGTAATGTTACAATATAGTGCACAGTACTTAATATTGCTAAATACAGAAACTAGTAATTTGTTCAGAATCAGCTCTAATTGCTAAAATTAGCCAATAAATTAAAATGCTAGTTAGTACACATGATTGAATGTGACCCGCAGATTAACTACAGTCATTACATTTGCACGTTAGACTATAGTTACTGAATGTTAATAATACTGTAAATATAAGTAAGTTATATAATGAAGCTGCATGCATACAACAATAAGAAATTATTTTATTATCTATAGAAAGAAAGAGAAAATGAGTTGAAGAGTAATTAGAAAATTTCCACTAATACATAAATATTGAAGAAACTACATGGTGTATAAGGTGTATAATATAATGGTTACATGAGAATCACATTAAATACATTAAAATTGTGTATCATTAAATGGTGAGTAATTATGGTAGCTTTTAAGATACAATGTCATGTATTTGCGGGTCGATTTGTTCCTGTTCATGTTTCTCATAATGAGTTTTCTCCTTCATTCTCTTTTCTTCCTCGATCATAGCAAATATCATATCGTCAAAGATCTTTTGAAGATAGTTAGCTAATGCTGAGTCAGGATTAACTGCTTTAGCTATATCAATATCGTGTGGACGAGGTTTTAAACCAAATTCAACAACTAAAAACCTAACAAGCTCTAAATTAGAACTGATAGTAGCGTAATAAAGCAATGTTTTGTGATCAACAGTTTCAGCTAGTGCATTACATTTGAGATCAGCTAGAAAGTATTGTACTAACTCCTACTACCAGCTTCACATGCTCCATGAACTGAAGTGTATCCATTATTATCAGGATCATCAGGAGTACAGGGGAAGGTCTCTATGAGATAACGTACCATACAAATATTATCAGAACGAGAAGCATAATGAAGAGGAGTACGACCAGACTTGTCTATAGGTATTGGGTTAGATTCAATGTTTGGTTTCAAATACTTGTATATATAAATTCTTTTTATTAAATGCAAGCAGGTGACACCATCTTCATCTTCTAATTCAGGATGTAGTCCATGTGTCTCGATTAGTGTTCTTACTATTCTGATATCTCCTCCCTCACATGCTGCATGAAGTAAACCACGTCCTCTATTATCCATTACATTAACACCTTGAGGATAAATACTGGCCAAATAATGAAAAATATCAATATGGCCATTACTGCAAGCTGTATGTAATACAGTGGATCCTTCATTATCAGTAGCTGTTAGGAGATCATGATGAGTAGAACTACCAGTGACTGAAGACAGTAAAGTTTCAGCAGTGTCATCGTGACCAGAGGCAACTGCTAAATGTAATGGAGCTTGTCCTTCTTTGTTAGTAATTAATAGATTATTGTTTGATAGACTGGCTTCTAGTAATAGAGATACCATATCCTTTCGTCCTAACCCGCAAGCATAATGTAATGGTGTATTACCATCTTTATTTTGTACATTAATAAGTACAGCATTATTGTGTGTGTCGTGAGGACTCTCTGATAAATGCTTTATCTCACGTAACCAGACAACACTCATTGAGGGTATACTCTTACTCAGTAAATATTCTAATATTTTATATCTATTAGCTGTCACAGCAAGATGTAGCGGCGTAAAATCTTGATGATTGGTTACATTAGGATTACAGTAATTATTATCAATGAGATACTTCACTACATTAAAGTGACCCCTTGCTACTGATATGTGAACTGCTCCAGACCCTTCATCATCAGTAGCTGATAGATTACACTTTTTACTAATAAGATATTTAATAACTTCTAACTGATTGAAGTACACTGCAGTAAGGAATGGAGTACGACCACGTCCTCCATCAAGTAGCTCAAGTGACGATGGTATGTGTTCTATAATGTACTGGACCAAGTTCACTCCCTTACTACACGCTAAGTGAATAGGAGCCATTCCATCATTACTCATAGCACACATCAAATCTAACTGATGATTCATATGCTTGACAACATGAGTGTGGCCTTTGAATGAGGCAAAGTGAATAATGTTCCAACCTTTGTTATCTGTTAGGCTCAAATTACACTTGTAATCCTTTACATATAATTCCAGTAGTAAAATATCACCAGATTTAGCAGCATAATGAATTGGTAGCTTACCATTACTGTCAGCTTGATGAGGATCTAACTGATAGGTAGTTATTAATTCTTTAACAAGAGATAAGTTAAGAGACAGTGAGGCATAATGTAAAGCAGTGAGGCAATTCTCATCAACTGCAGTAGGAGACAAACCTTGTTCAGTAATAAGATATTGAAGTAAATCTAAGTTACCACTCCATGCAGCATAATGTACAGATGTGCATCCTTTATTATTTGTTTTATTAATATCACAATTCTGTACCTCAATGAGATATTGAGTGATATCAATATGACCATGACGACAAGAATAATGAAGACATGTAATACCATTATTAACAATAACATTAGGATCACCGTTATGATTATTAATAAGATATTTAACACAGTTGATACTACCTGACTGGCAGGAGTTGGCTAATGGTACTTCACCAATATAATGAGTATTGTTAGCATAAAGATACATTAATGCACTAGTAGAACCTGATAAGGCAGCATTATGTACTTGAGACCTACCTAATGCATCATTGATATTATGTTCTTCTAATTCCTTTATGAGTAATGTATTGCCACTTTTTGATGCTAAATGAAGCAATGACTGACCATCATTTGTAGTAGCATTGACATCAAAGTTAGGGCAAGTGCTAGCTTTTCTGAGAAGTGAAGAAAACATTTTAACTCTTTCATTTCGTTTGATAAAATCAATGTTTTGTTTGATCGTAGTATTGTTAATAATCTCAATAACTGGTGCATCACGTTGTGCAAAAAGTTTACTATAAATAAGACCAGCTGGAAATTGCATACCTGCATAAGCAGCATAATGTAAACATGAATATCCATTATCATTATCATTAGCTAATAATGCTTCATTACCTTGAATACTAACAATATACTCAACAACTTGTGAAGAAGCAAACCATAAAGCAAACTGAAGTGGAGTCCGGCCATATCTATCCTTTACATCAATGGATAATTGATAATGATTTAAAAGATACTTGAAGAGCTCAACATTATTACTCATAGAAGAGTAATGCAATATGCCAAGTCCATAAAAATCAGAAGAATTTGAAACGAAGAGACGTTCAGCTTCAAGTTTATGGACTAATGCTAACTCTCCACTTATACAAGCTAACAATGATAATGAAGCAGCATGACAATTAATCTGAGAAATGTTACAATTTCTCTCGATAAAGAATTCCACTAGGTCAGAATGGCCCCCCATTGCTGAGTACAGTAATGCAGTGTTATTGCTATTGTCTGGTTGATCAGGAGGAACGTGACATGTGCCTACTAGATATTGTACTATAGATAAGTGGCCTTTATAAGATGCCATATGGATACTAGATACACTATTATCATCACCTTCATTAGGATCAATACCATATTGATGGATAAGTAGTTGAAGGATCTCAATGTGTCCACCGTATGATGCAGAGTGTAATGGAGTCCAGCCATGAAGACCACAATGATACGTATTGTAGCCAAACTCATTCAGAAGCCACTGTACTTCATCTTTTAATCCTCTCCAAGCTGCTTCATGTAATGGTGTACTGGTATTCTCATACCATAATGGATCACATATATCTAAATACAGAACATAATAGCATATGCATGTATGACTATGAGTCACTTGTTGTACTTACCTATATCAGCTAATGAGCGTTTAGCCTCTTCTATTGAGAACTATAAGGTTAAAATCAATATTAATGATATCACCACATAATCACAAACCTCTCTTAGATCATATGTTACATCATT